GGGAGACCCCTCCCCCGATCTGCCTGCTGATTCCCAGGCGGGAAGAAGGGCCTGAGCAACAGGGCCCAGGGCTAAGGGCGCTCCATCCCCCCGCCCTTGCCCACCATTTTCCGAGGAGGGACCTCCCTCACCTCCCCCGCACAGATGGGAAAACCGAGGTCTAAGGGGAGAGGGTGGGGGTGGGGAAGCCCCTTGCCCGTGGTTGTTCAGCCAGAAAGTGGCCGAGGGGGCCTGAGCCTGCGTGGGGTCTCCGAGCCTGTGCCTCCACCGGCCCAGGACGCGCCCCAAACACGAAGCTCCGTCTGGGAGCTGCCCCCACTCTCTTCCGCGCCGCCCCCCCTCCCCTACTCGTCTCTCGACAGGAACGCCCACCACGACGGAGACGAAACGCAGATGCTGCCGAGGGGCCACGCCGGCTCGGCGGGAGGGACCCCGAGCAGCCAGCCGGGCGCCGGCTGGGCTCCCGACGGCAGCGTGAAGGCGGACAGACTTCACAGGGTTGCAGTGTCCACGGCCTTCGAGGTGCCGCCAAAGCCGGGGTCAGGGTCACCCTCAGGGCAGCGTGGGCCTCGGCCGCCCCCAGCACGCGCAGCCAGGATGTCCGTGTGTGGCCTTCTCAGCAACGACCCGGGGACATAAATAATGTCCAGCGGGCTTTGAGGCTGGACTTGAAAAACACTGATGGGTTCCAGTTGTGGGGAGACAGGCCAGCCAGGAGCTGTTCCTGCCCGTTTCTCGGGGCTCAGCGCTGTCGGAGCGGGGGCGGGGCTGGGCGGGGGCGGGGCCGGGGGCGGGGCCAGGCGGGGCGGGGGGCGGGGCTTTCCTTCAGGAGGGAGGCTGGGCCTCCTGCCTCAGTGAGTCTTCCCTCCTGTCATGCCCATCGTGCGTGCTGTCCTGGGGGGTCTCTACATGCGACCCCTCTGAGACCCTTCCTGTGTGAAATCTTTCGGGGCTGTCCTCTGGGCCAAGGTGACAAAGGGTCACCCAGGGTCTCTGTCCTCCAGGTGTCTGGCTTCTCCGAGCGCACAGGGCCTGGGCCGGGGTGGTCGGTGGGGACTGGGCGGATGGGGGACCCGCGGTCACAGCCGAGGACCAACCTTCGTCTGTCCACACACACATGGGGGCCATCGACAGTGCTGTCCCTGCGTGTCCAGCCGCTGGCACACTCCCAGACACCGTCCCTCCTACTCCACAAACCCTCGGCTCAGCGCACCCAGGGCCGGGCTCTGTGTCCAGGCCACCTCTGGGGGCCGACGGTGGGTCGGGGGCTTGCACGCCAGGAGGCGTCTGCTGGCACGTGCAGAAGACAGCCCGCACACTGCTCACGCCTCCGAGCGTGGCCCGGGGGGCAGCGGCCTCCCCGCGCCCTGGGAGCTGGCCAGGAACACCGTCCCGGGCCCTCCCGAGACCTGCTAAGCAGTCCTGCACTCTGACAAGGCCGCAGGGGGGGTCCTGTGCGCATGCTCGGCCCCGGTGCCAAGGCTGGACCCCACCCCCGGACCACCATCCCAGTCTGCCCCCAACCGCAATCGTGCACCCTGGACAGCACACCTGGGACTGGAGGGGGCCTGACTGGGAATCGGGTCCTTGCAGGTGTACGCACGTTAGCATGACCTTGTGCTACATAGCGTGGGCCCTAAGCCCGACGACAGCGACCCTCTGAGAAGAGAGATGCACACGGAGATACACACGGGGCAGAGTGTCCCCCGTGGGAAGTGTCTCGGCCTTGGCCCAGGGACGCCTGGAGCCCCAGAGGCTGGAGGAGGGAGGGGAGAGGAGCCGCCCCCAGAGCCGGGGCCTTCGGGACTGGGAGAGAACGCGTCTGCGTTGCATTGCGCCTCCCTCCCCTGCTGGTGGTCTTTGCTACGGCCGCCCCGGGACATTAACAGTGTGGGCTCCTGAGAACCAGCCCCCACGGTGCCCGGGCCAGGCTGCCCTCTCATCACCACGGGATGTCTCTGCCACGCCAAGCCTCCGGACTCAGGGTAAAAGCCTAGCACAGAGTGGGGGCCCTCTGCAGGGGGCTCACAGCCCACCCTCCTCAGGAGCAGCATGGCACAGCACACCCGGCCCCTCGGGGAGCGAAGGTGGGCCCCATCTGTGCTTCCGGGGACCACCACCCTGCTGCCTGGACATGGCCGCAGGGGGCTGGGCCGGCAGACAGCTCCAAAGGGGCTGCCATGGTACCTTGTGGGGGGCTTCTTTATTTGCCCCACTTCTCTCCCCTCAGCTCCCCTTTTCCCTTTGCCCCCTACCCCCAGCCTTTAAAGCAGCACCACTCAATATTAGCGGGACGTTTAGCAATGTTTGGGGACATTCTGTGTTGCACGATGTGGGGGTGCTACTGGCCAGAGATGCTGCTAAATCACAGACGCTGGCAACAGTGTGGAGGGTCAGACACCTGCTTCAGAGCCCCACGGTCCCTCATCTGCGGGCGTCCCTCAGTGGGTGAGGACCTCACGGACTCCGTGGATTTTCCTCCCCAGGAGAGTGAATGTGAGCCCCCAGTGTCACTGCACCGTGGGTGAGACTGCATGAGTGGGCTCTCTCCAGGCTATTCGATTCCCCAAACCGCAAAGCCTCTCAGTCTCTGTAACCCGAGTGCACCGGGGCAGATTCATTGACCAGGGCGTCCCTCCCCCGAAATAAACACAGCACGGCTCCCTGCTAAGCGCGCTGGCAGGAGCCCGCACACAGCTCAGAAGCTGCAGGAGCTCAAGCCTTGGCCTTTGCGTGGGTTCTGGTGCCCCAACCGGGGACAGCTGCTGGGAGCACCCGAGGAAGGCTTCTCTCAGCACCCCGGCCTGCTGGTCTCTGGTGAGAGCCCCCGATTCCGGGGCGCCCTGGAAACTGCGGCGCACAGTGGGACAACCCCACGGGGCAACAGTCCACACCCAACTTCGGCCGCTGGGGAAGTTCGCACTGCCCAGGCTATACCGCCATGGCATTGTCACGGAAAAATGGCCAGTCGGTGGCTGAAAAGCCCCTTTTTAGCCACCGAGGCAAATTATCAGTGACATTTTGGGGGTCCCTTATCGGGAACACGGGATCGTTTCTTGGCGTCAGTAACCAATGTTTACTTTTGCTTTTCACTTCTAAGCCACGGCGGAGAATACGGAGGTTTTGAAGAGATGCCGCTCTCTCCTCCTCTCCTGCGTGGGCCCAGCTGTTTCCCGGGCCGAGGAACAGTAACACCGGACGGGATGGTACTGTCGGTCGGTAAGAATTCGCGACGCACCAGACTCCCAGTCGGGCCCTTTGTACTTCACTCACGATGACGCAGTGATGGAAACACTGCATTTACCTCCCTCCACGGGGCACTCGGTGACACTGAGGCCTAAGCAGCGTGGCCCGTCTTGCAAAGGGCAGGTGGAGGGCCTGGGATGGGGCCTGGGCCAGTGTGGATCACCCAGCCTCGGCGGGTCCTTTCGACCATGAGATTTCACAGCCGTAGCGACAGCGACAGAAAGTCCCTCGGTGCACAGACCAGGCCCCCATGGCACGGGGCCCAAGATGGCGGCTCTGCACGCCCCGCCCCTGCCGGCGGCCTCTCCCGCCCGATGGAGCCCGGAGTGTGTGCTCCTCCCAGCGGAGGGAGACGCGTTGCGGTTCGCCCTGCAAGGCGGCGGCACCGTCTCCACGAAGAGCCGCAGGGCTGGTCCCGCGGGACAGGGCGAGAAGTCAGCGAGAACGACTGCGCCCTTCGAGGGGCTGCAGCACAGGCCTGAGCCCCCGAATTCGGGAGGGCCAGGGCACACCCGTCTGCCGCTGCTGCCCCGAGTCAGGGGCAGAGGCGCTCGGCAACCTTGCCAGGGTCAAATCCTCGCTTCCCGGCCATCAAAGCGTTCGAAGGCCCCTCACACGTCCTCGCAACCCCAACATCCCTGCGGCGGAAGTGGCCCACGCCTGGCAGGCAGCCCAGCCCCCGAAGGTGAGCAAGACCCAGAGAGACGCTCGGTGCTGAGCACACGGCCTGCGCGGGCTGGTCAGGGTGGAAGGAGGTCCCCTGGGCGTTTTCATTGCTTTCAGGGGACGTCCTACGGACTTGTCACGAAACAGACAGCACACTCCCTGTGGCGGGGTCCCTAGTTCACTGCCACAGGCGTTCGCGTCCCCGGACCCAAAGCACTCATTACTGATCACGGTTCTCATCAACGGCAGATGGATATCGGTTTTATCTCGGGCACTGCTAGCGTCCTAAGGTAACGTGCTGACCACTTGTCCTGTTCTCAGTGTGTTGCACAGAACAGCTCTGCGGGCTAAGGGGCCTGTCCCCAGTGTTCATGGAAGGCAGGCAGGCCCCGTGCACGGAGAGATGAAGGGGTGGACAGGGGCGCCCCAGCAAACCACGGAGGGTGGAAGCCGCCAGGGCAGCCTTGCTCGCCAGGTGAGTGCACCTTGTGCTCTGCGCTTAGACAGGTTCTCGGGCTTTGCCGGGGAGCAGGGCCCCAGAGTCGCGGGATCTCAGAGCGCCAGGTCCCCAGGAATCAGGCCACACTCCTGATTGGAGAACCTGAGTCTGAAATAAGGGCCACTGTCGATCACCGCAAGACTCCCAGGACAGCGCTGTCCTCTGTCCCTTGACTGGGACCCATCTTCCCGGGGAACAGACTGACCAGAGCAGGAAAGACCTGCGCCCCGAAGGTCATCGCTGGAAGGTCAGCCCTGCCCCAGAGCAGACGTGGCCTGGAGGAGGGTGGTTGGGGGCTCTCCGGAGCCACCCGGAAGCGATTCCTACCCAACCTTAACCAGACTGGCGTTGTTTGCATAGCCCCTTCCTTAGAATAGGTTTAAAGCCAAGAGAACAGGTCCTACAACCGCTTCTGAAAACGTTACTGCACAGACCCGCCCGGACGCAACCCGTCCACCCATGCCACGCCCACCTGTCGCAACCCCGTCAGTTTATGCCACGCCCCACGAATGCCCCGCCCACCCGGCACCTTGCCCGCCCTCCCGACGCCCCGCCCACCCGACGCGCCAATAAGAAGCGGGATAGTTACCTCCTCGTCGCGCTCCAGCTCCAGGCCCGCCTCCAGGAGGTTCCCTTCGTACTCCGCCCGGCGGAAGCGCTTGTCGTCCTCGTGGAAGTCCTGTGGGGACTCCGGCCCGCCCGGGCCCTCTGGGCTCCCCAGCCCGGGCAGGGGCTGGTCCTGCCTGCCGCTGCGGGAGGACAGCGTGGAGTCCTGGGACTGGGACCTCCTGGCCAGAGTCCTGCTGCCCGAGGGCCTCTTGTGATGGTACACGAGCACGTAGTCCACCTTGCGTTTGCCGTCCCGGAAATACAGGCCATACTTGCACTTGGCGTCGGGGTCCACGGATAGCGAGTTCAGCAACTGCGGGGCAAGAAGAGGAAAACCCACTCACCGTGAAGTTCTCGGTGATGGGCCCTTGGAGGGATCACGTTTCAAACGGAATCGGTCATCCACTCGATCCCTCAGTCATTCAACAAACCCGGACTGCAGGCAGGCACCGGGGCAGCCGCGACTTAAGTCCCCCTGCCGGGCTTCCGTGCCGCCAACCCTCGGGAAGGAAACACTCGCTGCTCAGGACACACGACGCCGCCAAGCAGGCCACCAACCCTAGGAGCACCTACTGGTTCCAGGAGCCGGACCAGGCTGGCTCAGAGGGACCGGGTGGTTTGCCAAAGGCGACCAGAGTCGACCCCAAGAAGTGCTTTTCACATGGGGTTGCAGGGAGAGCAGAGGCCCCAGCCCCCGAGGTGGGCGCTTCCAGGGTGACAGACCAGCCTTGAACCCCCTCTGCATACCCAGGGTGCTCCATCCCTCCGGAGGAACTGAGACTTGAGGCGGTGCTCTTTCTCAGCACGGAGTGAGGAAGGGGCCACGAGGGACAGTGGCTGAGCACCGGCCAGGCCCTGCGGACTCAGCCAGACCCAGCTCTAAGTCTGGGCTTGGACCCGTTCCATCTACGGGGCCCGGGAAGGTTCTCTACCTGCTCTGGGCCTCAGTATCCACCTCTGTAAAATGGGAGGGCTGCCCATGGCGGCCCGCAGGAGTTTCTGAGTTAAAGAATGCCCGTGCTGGGCAGAATCTCCGTCTGAGTCCCTGGACAGGCACCCGGAGGCCATCCCGTCGCCCTGCCCTGGATCCCAGTGCCGTCAGCAGAGGCTCGGTCCCCTCAATATCTCAGGAATGTCCGAGAAGTGCAGAGTCACATGAGCTGGCGGCTGGAGGTTAGGGTTTCTCTTCCCCTGGCGAAGTGGACAGAACAGCCAGACCCGAAGGCTGCCGGGGGCAGCCACCAGCCGGCGCTCAGAATGGGCCGCTGCCAGGCAGGGCAAGAATGCGGGACGGGGTCAGGCCACGGTGGACACACGATCCCCGGGGCGGGCAGGGCTCGAGGGCACCGGCCTGCCGCCAGTGTCCCGGGCACTCCAGACTCTGAGCCTCCGTATGGGGCACTCACCCCTGTTTTCCAAGTGGGGAACTGTACCTTCAGAGCTAAACCGGGTGCTGTGTACTGGCTTGGGTGTTCATCCTCGGGTCCTGCCCACACCACCTTCCCTAACCTCCTGTCCCCTCAACGTCCGCACACTCCCCTCCGGCCCCCCCACCCCACAGCCTACACTGGAGCCAGGACATCCTCATCCCCTTTGCACGGACTGCGCCCCCTACCTGCAGGCCCTCCCTCCTCCATGCTTGGTGCTGGTGCCCAGCAGGGAGAACTGCCCGGCAGGAGACACGTGCCCTGTCCTCCCTGATCTGGGGGTCCCCGACCACGCCAGCCGGTGCAGGTCTCACATGCGGGGACTGCCTGGGAACCCCCCATCCAGGAGCTCTTCACTCACAGGGGTCTCTGGCCAGGCGGCAGGATGCCCGAGGCCGGGCCGGGAGCTGCCCCCGGAGCCTGCTGCGCACCCGGTGGGCCCGGCACCTGCAGGGCGCCCCTACGTGCCCGTGGTTGGCTGAACAGAGGGCTCAGACAAACCCCGAGAGCGTGGGAACACAGTCCAGGAAGTCAGAGGGCGGGGAATAACCCTAAGGAGCAGCCCCAACTTGCCCCCAACCCGGGACAGGCAGACCCTGGCCCCTGAGGCTGATTGAGGACCCACAAGGCCAAGGCATGACGGTCTGGGGAGCACGGAAACACCCCCAAACACCGCCCGCCTGGGCCACAGCGGCACAGCGGTCTGCTGGAGCGGGCGTCCTCCTGCCTGAGTTCAAAGACCGGCTCTGCTGCTACCACCGCCTCACCCCAGGCACACCGTCCCCTCTCTTCGGCCTCTGGGTCCTTCTCTGTAAAGGGAGGGCCCGGTGGCCGCAAGACCTGCTCTCCCCTCTGACACGCCTCCCCTCAAAGTGCCGTCACAAGGACGAAACGTGTTCCCGTGTGTGGAGCGGTCACAGCAGGTCCTCCCGCGCGAGGACACGCGGCAGAGGTTGGCCCTAACTGGGGAGTGACGCGGCACACGGACCGAGCGAGGGGAGGGCGGTCTCGCGGCCAGCGTGGACCGCGAGGGGAAGAGGGCGGCAGCGCCAAATCTAGATAGCAGAAAGCTATCGAAGGAGCTGGATGCGCTGCCGGGACATGCAGGGGACCGCGCCCAGCGCTGGGGTGAGTCCCGGCGCTCTCCCGGGCCTGGCACTCCTCCGTGCTCCCAGGGAGGTGTTTTTTTTTCCTTTCTTTTTTTTGCGTGCATGTTCACTTGATAAAATGGGGGCGACCCTACCTGAGTGAGGGGGAGGGGGTAGCAACCTTTCAATGGGAAGTGTGGGCTCCCTGCCTGCTGCACTGGACCTGGGCTGGGAGGCCCCCAGGGTCTGGAGAGCAATTCTGAGCTGGGCTTGGAAGGAGCTGGGGAGGCAGCCTCACGGGACGACCACAGAGGCTGCCGCCGTGGCCCTGGGACTCCCCGGGGCCCTTCCACGGAGCAGCAGAGGGGGTGCGTTTGTTGTGCCGGACTGCACAAGAGGGCGGGTTCCACTCGCACTGCCAGGAAGGGGGTTAGCCTGGATGCAGAGCCTCCGCTTCAGAGGCTGGAGAAAGCTCCAGAATGTTCCCCTTCCCCATGCTTAAGAAAGAGGCAGGTGAGTCCGTAGGGAACCCTGGTTGCGTGGGTGGTTGCAGAAGGAATGCACGCGTGAGTGAGTGACCACGGCTGCTCCTGGGGGGGGGCCCTCGGGGAGAGACACAGAGCCGAGACCCAGCCAGGCCAGCGACTGGAACAGGACACTCCCCGGCTCTGAGCGTCCTCAGTTTTCTCACGGGAGACACAAGGACACAGCTCAACCGAGGTCACAGGATTCTTGTGAGGACACAGGGTGACTGACGGGAGGCTAGAGAGTATTTTGAAGATCACCCTCCGAATGTTTGGGGGGGAAGTGCTCCCGGAAGGCATTTCCCCAAGGAAGATCGAAAAAGTGGTGGGAGAGAAATGGCTCGCCGAGGTTCCGTGGGAAGGGTCGGGGACAAAGGTCCTGCACAGGAGGGGTGTCCTGTCCCAAGCGCCGCACACAGTGACAGGGCTGTCCACATCTGGGCCACACCTGCCTCTTCGAACCACCCCCCCCAAACCCTGAGCACCTGTGTCCCCAGCGGGGCCAGCTGCCCTCATCTGTTTGGCCCCCAACCTGGAGTGGGCGCTCTAGGAGCTGAATTACACACATCCGTGCGAATCAGCCCCAGTCCCCAGGAGAGCTCCAGGGGCATCGCCTACCCTCACTTTTTTTTTTTCCTTCTGAAAATGGGGACAATGAAATCAGGGACCTGCCCAAATTTCCTTTGGTTTTGAATTTCAGATCCAAGCGGGACATCACTCTGAACTTCGTTTTATTCCAAAAATATTTCAAATTCCTCCCGCCACCCCCCCACCCCAATTTTAAAACCACTAGCACTGTCTATCCATTTCTGATGACCAGGCAGCTTCTGTAATCTGCACGCCCATCACCTGCAACTGCAGATAAGCAGGGAAGCGCTCTTATCTGGGCAGGCTCCAGCGTCAGGTGCCTCTGGGGTGTCTGGGCTTGTCTTGGCCACAGACGGGGCCCCGGCAGCCGGCAGCGTGCGGGGCAAAGGTGGGAACCTCCACGGTGAGCACAAAGATCGTTTCGTGCAATAAATTGCACCCACCTTGGCCTCTAGCCTTTGAGTCATGGCTCACACCTCATTACTGTACACAGGAACAATAAAGCGACTTTCACCCTTGAATTTGGGAATGAGAGAGAGCGGCGAGGCAGCGAGTGCGCCGAGTCCCGGCCGGGAACGGCAGCCTGCCGGGACGGGCTCATTCTGACGGCCGATTAAACTGCCTCCACGCCGCACAGAGCGGGTGCATCGGGTCTGGGCACCCGGGAGGCACCCTTCGACAAGCAGCCCACGCCCTCTTGCCATTTGCCTGCACGAAGCCACTGTCGCCGGCTCACTCAAGACGATGATTGAGCTACAGTGATTGGCTTCAGCTGTGCCAGGGATGCCCCGGCAGGTTCCCCACCGCCACCCCTCCCCCGCTGCTAGCCTGTCCTATTCAGGGCCGGAGTCAGTCACGGCCCTCGGGGGAGCTGTGCCCGAAACCTGCCCGCAGGGAGCGGGGAACGCAAGGGAAGAGCCAGGAGTCAGGCCTGCGCCGGCCTGCATGCTCCCAGACTGTGGGCACCTTGCGGGAAGGGCCCGGCGGCCTCTCGGCAGACTCTGCGGCCCTCCCCGGGGCGCAGGGGGAGGCAGCTTCTGGACGTGGACACGCAAGGGGGAGTCCTGGGACTGAGACTCAGAACGGGGGCCCGCTGGGGTGAGGGCTGCCCTTCTTACTCCGAGTCCAGTCTGGTCTACCTCCGGAGGGACCGCTCTGTCCGTGTCCTCGGATGGCCCCTCTCCGTGGCGCCCCCTAACTGGTGTTCTGCGTTCCCAGCTCTGGGCCCCCTGTTAGTCCAGTGCTTTGTCTGACCCCCTCCCACCCAACACACACACACACACACACACACACACACACAGCACAGGGATAACTAACTAGCCTCTTCTCCAGAATGCCCGTTCTTTCAGGAGGCTGCCTGCTTTCTTGTCTTGGCTCTTCCCAGCCCTCTCCCCGCGCCTCCCCCCCACCCCCGGCTGCGGGCGGTCTGGGGGCAGCGCATCAGGCTGCCCTTGGCGCCAGCTTCCCCATGGGGAGCAGCGGCACCTACCCCACAGGGTCCTTGGAGAGTTACGGGAGCTGACGTGCAGCGAGGGGCCCAGTGGTGTGGACGTGTCCCTTGCCACTGCCCTGGGGAACGTTCCCTCACTGCTCCTTCGGGCCCCGATGGGCGCGGCGTCCCTGTCTCAGTCCCTGGGGGGTGGGGTGGGGGTGCCCGGGATGCAGCCCGGCCTGGCACACGGCCCGCCCGCAGGGTTTGTCGAAATGATGACCCCGGAGACCTGGAGCCCGGTGGTGGTTATGGCAGGAAGACCCCTCCCTCTCCACCCACACCGGTTCCCAGTGCTCCCCACGCCTCCGCGAGAGCCTGGAAATGACCTCGAGGTGCTCCCGTGGTGTCCCCAGGGCGTGTGGGGCCTCCCAGCCTCTGCCCTGCAGGGATCCTACCTGGTAGGCACCTCCCTAGATGCCAGTGTCCAGCCCTGAGGCTACAGGCAGGCCAGGGCGACCCAGGGCTTGGTCCCGGCCAAGCACCGGGCCTGGGGCGTTGGCACCGCCCGGGGAGAGGGGGCCTCGGCCCTGGGGGAAGGGGAGTCTGTTCTCTGATGAGTGAGCAGCCCCGAGGCTCTCCCGGCTGAGGGCGTGGACCTCAGACCTTCCCTCCCTGGGCAAACTTTGTTCCAACGTGAAGCCATTCCCCTCACGAGGGATCCCTATGACTGCTGGGCCCCCGCTGGACGGAAGGTGGGGGTTAGCGGGGACCCCGAAGAGGTTCTCCAACCACATGGCCGGCTCAGCCCTGGCTCACATGTCTGGGCTACCACCCCGATCAGCCCGGGTGCTGGGTGGAGACAGGGACCAGCATGGAAAGAAGTCTCAACGCAGCCGAGCCAGCCTGCCGCCCCGGGCGTGGGGAGTTCCCGTGCCAGCTGCAGGCTCTGGGAACTCCCTGCGTCCCGGGCAGGTGAGGGAGACTCCGGCGGGTCCAAGGCCAGAGGGGCGCAGCTGGGGCCAGACAGCGGCAGCAGGAGGGGGCCGGGAGGCTGCCACCTTCCTCCGGAGGACCGGCTCCCCCCACCCCACCCCCACCCTGGCTGCCCCAGTCAGCACCAACAGGAAGGGAATGTCCCATCCAGGGGCCCAGCCGTGCTCTGGGGCTTGTGGGCTCCAGGCCCGGGCGAAGTGACTGGGAACTGAGACGCGGAGCCCCAGGGGCTGGGGCGAGGGGCGCCGCGTTGCGCGGGCGGGCGGATCCGGATCCCGGACCCGCAGACCGCGCGCTTGCCGGCGGCCGCGCCCCACGTGCGCGGTGGGCGCCCCCGCCCCCGTACGCGCCCCCTCCCTTCCGGGCCGCCCTCTCCCGGGGCGCGGCGCAGGTGCGCGGCCCTCCCGCCCGCTCGCGGCCGCTGGCACTCACCGTGCCCTCGGAAGGCAGGTAGCCGATGTCCTCGATGGCGCAGATGTTGATGATGTGGACGCTGCGGTCCTCGGCCGGGAGCGTCGAGTACTTCTCGTTGACCCTCATCGCGGCTGCCTGTGCGCCGGGACCGCCGGGCGGCGCGCCCTCCCCATCCACGGCCCCGGCGGCCTCTGCAAGCGGACACGGCAGCGTTCGCGGCAGGCGCGCTCGCTCGCAGGGGGCCGGGCCTCCTGCTCCGCCCGCCGCCCTCGGCCGCCTGCCGGTCCCGCGCCCCGCGCGCCCACCCTGCCGCGCCCCGGGGGGCCGCCTGCCCTGCTCTCTTTTCCTTAAAGATATAAGCTCCCTGAGCCCGCTCCGGGCAGGGGCGGCGGCCGCGGGTCAGATTTTCCGTAGAAATTTAAACACAGGAAGAAAGTATTGCATTCCTGCCGGCCCCCTCCAAGTTTTATTTTTATCCGGGGAAAATGCCCCTTGGATTTTTTTTTTTTTCTTGAGGGTGGCCAAAGTTGCAAACGTGGGAGGAAACTCCCAGCAGCCCCCACCTTAAATGAAAGTCTCAGCACCACCGCCGCACTCCTCTGCCGGTCGCCTTGCAGGGGAGAGGCGTCTGAGAGTGAAGTCAGGAATGCACGGCCTGCCCCTGCCCCCTCCACCCGCTGTCAGACTCCTGCTGTCATTCGGCCTCACCTCCTCCTCCGGGCAGCCTCCCCAGCTTTCTGCAGGCCCGCCCTCCCGGGCTTGCCCTGGCCTCCTGGGCGTCTCCCCGCGCCCCCCCCCATAACCCCCTAACGTTGCCGGCAGCCCCCATTTATGGAATGCTGAGCAGTCTGTGACCGGCCCCATCAGAGTCCCCCGTACAGCCGGTCTCGCTTAACCCTCACAGCCGGGTGGGTCCTCTGGTTGCACAAGGGGCAGGGGGCTGGAAGGCCAGGGGAGGGGGGCGGGGTTTGCCCCCTTGCCTGCACTCCTTGCACGACTCTCTACTGCCTCCCTGAGGGAGGGATGGTGTCTTCGATCACTCTCCTCCTGGGATGAGCAGGAGCCTGGCACATAGTAGGTGCTCTCAGGACAGGTTTTTAATCCTGTATCCCTGCAGGAGGGTGGTGGTCTCCAGGGGCAGTCACACCCAGGTTTAGCCTGGCAGGGGCCACACTGGCAACCCTACCCACTGGGAACTAAGTCTCCTTCTGCGCTGCTTCCCTGCATCCTGTGAGTTCCTCAAGTTGTGTGCTAAGGCCACCTCCTCCAGGAAGCTGTCCTGGATTGTCCCTCACCCAAGCACAGGCCCCTCTCCCTGCCTGCCTGTCCCTCAACTACAGCACTTCCCTCCTCCCCTCCACCTCACTTCACGGAGGGTCCACACAGTCGGCCCTCCACCACTGTGTGCTGGATGGCCCCTGAGCAGCATTCAGGGCCTACGGAAGGGGTTATGGAGCCGCCTTCCAAGGCCGCGACGTCACCGGCATGCCAAGGGTGGGTTCTGGAATCGGACAGGACGGGGAGGGGGACAGGGGATGGAGTCTGCTTCCAGCTCCGGCACTTTGCAGCCCCGTGACCTTGGCCGAGGCTCCTGGGCCCCACAGAACCTCTGTGGTCTGCGAGCCTCAAGAGTGTGCGAAGCCGCAGCGCCGTGCCAGGCCCCGGCACAGGCTGGGCCGTGGTGGCTGCTGGCACCAGTGCTGTCCTTCTGTCATTGTGGTGGCCTCCCCTTCCCACCTCTCCGCCTCCTCTGGGCTCCCGTTTGTTTCTTGAACTTGGAGAGGGGCAGGAAGGTTACTCTGTCCTTGGGCTGGCCTTGCCCACGGGCACCGGTGGCCCTGAAGGACCCTTTGTCTGCACCCTGGACAGGGATAACAGGTTTGGAGACGTGCGCCAGGCTGGCCAAGTCCCCGCCGGAAACTGCCCTCCCCGGTCTCCGCCACGCCCGGGAGAGCGCGCCCCTAAAAGTTCACGCTGTTCAGAGCTGGGAGGAGCCACGCGGGGCGATGCTACGCCATTCTCGTTCTCGTTGGTGAACCCCCACGACGGGACGACCCTCCCGTTGTCTTTCTGAATTTATTTTCAAGACTTAAGGGTCTCGAAGCCTACGAGGTGTGATTTCTGAAAAAGAGTACATAGGCGATTCCTCAGTCCCGGGCACACTGGCACGCCCCGAAGTCTGGGAAATCGACACTTGACCTCTGACCACGAGAGGGTGCTGAGCCCTTTTGGGGGCTCCTGTGCCTGCCTGAGGTTTTCGCCCTTAGCCAGCTGTTCAAGACGCCCGCCCGCCTGCAGAGTGTCCTTTCTTGGCCACGCGACAGCGGACTTCCCTGCTTTGCCCCCCCCCGCCCCCCGCCTCCTCTCAGCTCCCCATCCTGCCCGGCGGGCAGTGTGGAAGTGCTCCTGCACGCGGCAGGGCGACGCTGGCCGCACCGAGCGGGCAGACGGCCGGCCAGAGAGGGTCACTTCCCCTCCCAGACCCTTTATGGTCTGGGCGGGGTGGGGGGGTCCTTGGATCCCGGGGTGTCAGGGACCAGCCAAAGGAAAACCAACAGTGCACCCGAACCGGGGAGGGGCGACGGGATTCCCCACGTGGAGATAGCGTCCGAGCTAGCGGATTTGAATGGGGGTGGCTTCAGCGGCCCCCGTGGGTGGGACACCTTCTCGGGGTCGGGGTTCCGGGTCTGCTCTCAGGTGCTAGCTGCCGACGGGCTGGCCCCCTGCATAGGCCGCCGGGTTAGTTTTGCACTTTCTGTTTCTCGACTCAGGGAGTCCCCTCATTTGCAAACCCACAGGGACAGATTCCGGCGGCAGGATGAACTCCCGGCTCAGGAATGAGTAAAACCCCGTCTCGTTAGCCTAAACTGTGCGTCTGGCTAGGCGAGTCTGGGCTCGACAGCCCGCCCCGGTTTGTCAACGTGTTGCCCTCGGTGTCCCGGCGATGTCACCCACCGTCAGGAACTTCCGTCCTTGCTGACATGTTAATGTCAGGCGAACAGGCGCCCGGTGACAGGGGACGCGGGACAGGGCTGCGCGAGCGTCCGAGGACGTTGGAGGCTTAGCAGGGCACCCTCCCCATCCTGGCTGGTGTTCAACACGGCCGCCCCACCACCGCCCCGTCGCCTGCCCACGAGAGAGGACACCTCGCTCTCCTCTCCGCCGAGCAGTGCGTGAGAGTCTGAGAGCCCGCCTGGCCGTGCGCAGCTCACCGACAAGGCGGCCCTCCTGGGGGTCTGCAGAGTGGGGCGGGACCGGGCCCTCTGACACCCCCCCCCCCCGGGCCTGGGGGCCGGGCAGGGGCTATTCCAGGGTGGCCTCTTCTAACATGCTCATCGCTGACGGTGGGGTTTTCTGGGTCGGTCCCACCCTGGGGGCAGGGCCTGTGCACTGCAGGGGGGTCAGCAGCATTCCAGGGCACGGGCCCCCAGTGCAGGCGGCACCTCCCTATCTCAGGGAGACCACCGAAGTGTCTCCAGACACTGTCGCACGCCCCCTGGGTGCCCCCCTGGGCGGGGGGGGGGGCGCGTCTGCAGCCTCAGGGAAGCCCTGGGGGCTGGTCTCACCAGCCCCATTTCTCAGATGAGAATGTGGAGGCCTAGGGGCGTGGGGTGCTTGGGTGACATCACGGCCCAGAGGGACCCCTCACGCCGAGACTTCAGCACGAGCACTCTCGTACACGCACACCCTCGCACACACCCTCGCACACACACACTCTTGCACACACTCACACACCCTCGCACACACACTCTCATACACATTCTCGCACACACACTCTTGCACGCACATCCTCGCACACACACTCTCATGCACTCTTGTACACGCACACACTCTCATACACACTCTTGTACATGCACACGCTCACACACACACTCTCATGCACACCCTCGCGCGCACACACCCTCGCACACCCTTGCACACACCCTTGCACACACACACTCTTGCATGCACATCCGTGCACACACACCCTCGCACACTCTCGCACACAGAGCTACGAGGAGGCAGCTGGTCTGGCTCGCCCTCACAGAACACACAGACCCCCGCCACGGCCGCCCCTGGCTGGTGGAGGGGCTGCTGCCGGGCAGCGGGGCGGCTCTGTCCCCGGGTTCGGGCCACCCCTGCCCGGGGCAGCTTTCTCCCCAGGACGGAGCTCCAGGCTCCGGGTGCTGAATACAGGCCTTTGACTCACGGGCAGGACAGCCCGGGGCGGGGCGGTGGGGGGGGACATGGAAGGAGTGAGCAGCTGTGACTCAGGGCTATTGTGAGCCCCACCGCCGCCGGCCCCCGCCCGCTCCGGAGCTGCTGGCTCCCTGCCCTTTCCCAGTCTCCGGGCGGCGGCCCCAAACAGGTAGATGACCTAACGTGCTAAAAGGGACTCGGGGGTAATTGTCCCGGGGAAGACATGCTTGGGGGATTCACAACGGGAGCTGGTGGGTGGGAGACGGCCACTGTCATTTCCTTCCCTCGATGATGTCAGGGCTGCGAGTCGCCGCTGGCTGGTGGGGACCCCTGCGGGCACGGAAACCGCAGGCCCAGCGTCCTGGAACGCGGCCAAGGCGCAAAGCTCTGTCCGGGGGGTTGCTTCCCCCCCGCAGGACCCACGCGGCCGTCTCTGGCCCGGGTTGTCGGAGGCCCGCCTCCCCCTGAGAATTCCTAGGAACTCTGAAAACACGCCCGGGGTGGGTCGGAGCCCGCCAGCGCCAGCTCAGCACGCCGCCTCCTCCCGGAAGCCTCTCCGTCCCGGGTCACTGGCATGACTCACGGCAGTTCCGCCGCCTGGCTCCCGGCTCCCGGCTGCGGCCGGCCCGGCGGTGGGGCTCGTTTCTGCCCGGCCGCCCTCCCGTCTCCCGTGCTGTTTCTGCGCCCCGAGCCCCTCCCTGTCCCGCACGTCCCAGAGCACGCTCGTGTTTGCACTGGACACGCCGCCGTCCCGTGCTTGCCACGGCTGGCACTGGCTGCACACTGTCCCCCACAAACCCTGACGCCCGGTCCCACGTCCTGAGGGTGACGGCCACCCTCAGGCGGCAGGTGGCCTCACACCGGGACCCCGCCACCCGCCACCCCAGTCCAGGGTCCTTTCTGTGCAGGAGCAGGGAGAGGTCTAGGCTGGGTCTCAAAGAGCTCCCTCCTCCGCAGCCAGGCAGGCATCACGGCACTCGCCCCGACAGACAGACAGACAGACGGCCGCCTC